TTGTCATCCGATTGTCAAACCGGCGGCCCTGAAACGCTATGTTTTGTCCACTGCTGCTGCAAGTCTCACTGGCAGTCTACGAGTGCCAAAGAGTGCATTGAGTGTAGAAAGCTTCAGAGAACGTCAAAGATGTCGAAGAGCATCTGAGAGTGTCAGGGATTGGAAGCTGTTGTCAGTGATTGTCAAGAGATCGTCAGGTATCGTCAGGAGACTGTCAGGGATTGTCAGGTATCGTCAGGTATCATCAGGGATCGTCAGGAGACTGGGGATCGACAGGATTGACGGAAGGTGTGCATAAATGCACATCATTGCGCGTTCGGTTTGTTGGAGTGGAAAAAAGAAAAGTGTCTAAAGGGGCAGAGTTGAAAACGACTACGTGTCCTTTGGAACCAAGGTTCCTGGTCCCGCTGAGCGACAGCCTTTCCTCCTCCAGTCGGTCTGCTGGAGGAGGAAAGGCTGTCACTCAGCTGGACCTGATCGGTTCCGGTGCTGAGCGACAGCCTTTCCTCCTCCAGTCGGTCTGGATAGATGTTCTCAGATTGGTCCTGAATCGGTTCCGGTGCTCCTTGTTCGAGAGTCCTTTCCCGTTGAAGACTGTTGTTCCTTTCGCACCAAATCACGTCCACTCCTCAGCTCTGACAGTTTGTGCCACAGCCCCAGTCGCATGCGGCCTGTAGGTTGGGTGGGATGGCCCCTAGCAGGGACCCATTCCCTGGACCAAGTTAGGGTCTCGCCGGCTACCTTCTGCCAAAAGCGGATCAACCATGTCCAAATCGGGCTGGAGGCGGGACAATCGCACCAGGTGGAGAGTTGATTCGAGTGCCCATTGGCAGCGGCTGCAGATTAGGTCTATTGCAACTCCTCTTTGAGTGCGCCAGACAGCCGACGGAGTTGCCACAGGAAGGACAGCAAACACAGAAGGGCTGCATGTCTTTGGTTGGGACCATCTTGAGTTGTTCCCAGCATTTTGAGAGAGCTGAGCTGATGACTTGTGGCGGAAGCTGGAGTACCTGCGTCCATCTGCTGGTTGCCACTGCCAGTGGTTGGATTTCGCTGCCCTGCTGCAGTGCGTTGCGTGACTCGTGATTGGGAGGTTTTCGCCTTCCTCTCTCCCCTTGCCCGCCAAGTCCATAGTGCTGGGTCCAGTCTAAGTGCCTCCACTGGTTGACCGTCGGCAAATAGTGTGCATGTGAGGGTGCTTGGAGGCGGGAATAGCTAGGATCACAGAAGGAGGCAAGCTAGAACTAGATCAGTGGTTCTGAAAACGGCCATGCTGGTGGTGGTCAAAGGTGGATTGAATAGGTTTCACCTATCTGATTCGTGGTTGGGAGGCTGTTGACACACAATTTCTGAATGTTTCTGAGTTTTCCTTTTCTTCATTTGTTCTTAGCCGAAGCCGGGTAATGGCCCCGGTAGCTCATCCTTGTATTGTGATAAGGGACGCTGGGCCCGGTTCCCAGCCGTGTTGCTCCCCACGAATAGATTGGAGCATCGTCTCTTTAAAAAAAAATAAAAAAAAAAATAAAAAATCAGCGGTTCTTTGACAAATAGGTTTAGGAAGGCAGTCCTCAGGTACATACCAGGACACTCGGGTCTACAGCCGCGGTGGGCATGCAGGTGTGCAAACACAGGGTGGGATCTAGGGTGGGAGGAGTGTGATTAACAGCGACTGTGAGTTGATCTGCCAAGCGTAGCCAGTCTACTCATCAGATAGGAATAGAGATAGGCCACAGAGTGGTGATCAAATTAGACCCCAGGAATGGATTTTGCAAGGCTCAGAATTAGTAGATAGCAGCCCTATGGTTTCCTTTTCGGTTTGTTCAGTTTGCGGGTCTTGACGGAGGGGCCCATGTATTGAGGTTATGAGGTATTCTTGTCCGGTTTTGATTGTTTTTGATTTGTTTGGTTTTGTAGGCCTTGTGGCTGTGTTTTTCTGACCAGGATTGCGGATTAGTCAGAGCAGCGGTCTTGGATTGGCCATATTTCTGTCTCTGGACGTTGTCCCAACGCCTGCACCTAAGCTCAGGTAACGGTCCCAGTATGTTCATCCTTCTCCGCGTTGTCTGTGAGAATGTGAGAATTCCCCGCCTCCCTTTTCCATTTTGCATTACAAGATCAAGCTGCTTTTTTTTTTTTTTTCAGGGGGGGGGGGGGGGGGGGGGGGGGGGNGGGGGGGGGGGGGGGGAGGGGGGAGGAAGAAAAACTTGAAAATGTGCAAATGATTGTCTGACACGTAAACTGACAGGTTCTGATAATGGTGCTTTCTTGTTTATGGTTTCTAATTTTGGTCTTTATTTTTGGTGGGGTCAGTGGGATGCCTGCAAGTTGTCCCCCCAGCTACGGGAGCCGCGTGATGTTGCTTCTTCCAATTATCTTGATCCCGTCCAGCATCCTGTTTATTTATTCTCTGAGGGTAAGATGTGTATGCTGTGTTAGTGTTAGGGGTTTGGACATAATCGTCGATAGTGAGGTTATTGGGGTTCGCAGGGGTATTTGTTCATGGTGATAGACGAGTTGATACTCCTCGGATTTGTAGAACTGGAGTTTCTCGCAATTGTGAATGGAAGCAGAGTGGGGCTGCTCGTCTAGAGAATGCTATTTATACTAAATTTTATACTATTTATAGTCATCGTTGTTAATTGAAGAAAAAAACAATCCATTGACGCACCGCGGTGATAACACGGCAGATTGGACAATGCCATGTGGCCCGGCAGCGTAAACGACCCCCGAAAAGGAAAAAAGGCCAAAAAAAAAAAACAGAAGAAGAGAAAAGAAAAAGCACCCATGGGGAAGTAAGGGCGTAGGCCCTAATGCGAAGGGGGAAGTAAGGGCATACTCACACAGCGACATTATCGACAGACCTCTGCCCGTGATTGCAGTCAGATTCAAAAAGTCAGAGTGTGTGCGTGCCCCAAGTCGCCCCGACTCCCAGTGCTAGTATGTCCCAAAAGGTCCGAGTGTCAGTATCCCCTAAGTCAAGTCCGTGTGTGTGTGTGGCCTAAATCGCCCCGAGTCCCACCGTGACTCTGATTATGACCCAAAAGGTCCCGGTGTCAGTATGCCCTACGGAACCGACTGCCCGTAACTGCGGTTAGACACATTCTAAATAAATGCCAGTGTGTAAAGACCGTCGAAGGAACTGTCCACCCGTGATATGCATTCAAGAGATGTCTGAGTCTGAGTATGCCCTAAGGACCACAGTCAGATGCATGCACAAAACGAGTCTCACTATGAATCTTCCGCTAACATGGAAATATACACTGCCGCATTCTGTGTTTGGTGCCTGTGGAGAGCAGTAGAGCGAAGCATGCCCTGATGAGGGCCGTGCCTTCAACACGCCATGTACTTGTACTTGAACATGCGGGAAAGCACTGGCCCCCGCCACTGCTAAACGACAAAAAAAGCAAAACTGGAACCTTGGGCGCCAACCGCTAAATGGGAAAAGGAAGAAAAAAGCAACCAAGAGAAAATGGTGCCGACCACTAAATGAAAAAAAGTAGAAAAACGAAACCAAGAGAAAACGCATGCCAACTTGAGCTCAAGCCAACCCGGGGGTCAAAAGAAACCCCGAAAAACCAACGACACCGCTGACAAGTGACCCCGCAGGACTTACGGGTGGGGAGTGTCTTCCAGGGCCCGCTTCTTCCTTTACATAGAACAAGTCACAGGTGCGCAGCGGCAGGCGAGGCGCTGGCATGTGGCCCTGCGGCACCAACGATGCAGCGCGCAAGAGAGAGAGAGAGAGAGAGAGAGAGAGAGAGAGAGAGAGAGAGAGAGAGA